TGTTTGGGTCTCCCATTCTCGAAAACGCCCATGTTAAGTTATTGATAAGGGGTGATCTTCTTGTCCCATGTTCAACCAAAGGAGCTAACAACCCCACCCGGCCTTCCGGTTTCCTCGTCGCCAGTGTGGTGCTTGTCCTGCCACATAGCATTAATGCACCAACCATGCGCCTTGAGGTAGATGCCCCGTTCCCTTTATGCATGCAGCCACACCTGTCCAGCGCCTTGAAACTCCAGTGAAGAATATGTGTGACGCTCAGGTCCAGTACCAACAGTAAACACTGTGGTCCTCCCAAAAGCACGCAGCAAGTGCGCAAGCCTCTAAAAACTCCCTTCTCCCACTTCCTGAGTTGACCTTCCCTGGAATTGTTCTGCCAAACTCCGCATTTGGGGTATGTATAAGATTTATCCTGCATGACTTCTGGACTCCTTGCTTCCCCCCAATTTCGGTCCTTGGTGACGGCCAGGCCCATCTTCCACTGCATGCACCGCACCGTGTCCATGTGCCTCGCTTGGGACCGCCACGTGGCATCCCAGCCCGCGCCGAAGGCCTCCGGAACGGGGCCGGCCAGTGCCAGGAATGTACTCCAGGAAAATTTGAATCCAGCTGGTTTCCCTCTCATGTTGACCCCGGCTTGGTAAACTGCTTAACAGCCGGGGGAACACCCCTCCGAAAGTGATAAATCCCCACTAAAACCAGGGACACCCCCAGATTGAGAAACAGGAGTTTACCAATCCGGGGTCAACAGTACTGACTGTACAAGAGCAGAAAAGCAACAGCGGCCCAAGGGGACCAAGCAGACCTTACGTCTCAGCCTTGTGACAACCACAGGGCCCCTCAGCTGTAAACCGCATATAACGAAAACCAGAGATGCTACGCAAGGTGAATGGACTATCCTGGCGTGAGCCTTGCATTCTTTGGAACTGCCCCCGTTTTGCTATCGCCATGGAATTGCGCCGGTGTGCTGCCCGGAAAAACAGCTGTCTTCAACTGGGTTGGTTTGCGCCAGGGTACGAGCCTGCACAATGATATAACGCGTTTCTCAGGAAACCTTGCATCAACCGAAGGCACAATAATTCTGTTCAGTTGAAGGTCATGGGGCAACTGAAGAAAACATACATGTGAGCAACGGTCAACATTCATAGTCGCCTACGGTGCCATGTGTCCGGCGGTGCTCTACTCCTAACATGCCTCGGTGAAACCTTTTACACGCCTTTCGCTCCCCCGCCTTACCGAACTGCGTGCCTTTCGCAAACCGTGCGCAGACCCTTCGCCAGCCTTCTACGGTTTTTCCTGTGCCTGAATCCTTTGTTGTGGAAGCCCACACGCTGCAGCTAAACATTCACCTTTCCGCTGCGGTGTGGTGAACTTCACCGCGGCAAATGTCACGTGCCGGAGCAAAGCGAATGCGGAGGTGGCTTTTACAACGACGGCGCCCCAGAGCTGTGGCTTGGGACGCTGACATCGGCGGATTCCGCCAAGAGCCAAAAAGTCAGTTTGGGCAAAACTTCAAGCAAGGGCGACAAGGGCGAAGGACAACAAACTCTCGGGGACTTATTAGCATTCAGTTTCATAATATGCATGTTCATCAATGTAAAGTCAAACCATCAACCTGGGTTTGACTGCAGCGGAACCGCTTGCGTTGCACCAAACCAGGGCGAGCGCAAGACAGAGAGGCAAAGGAAACAAAAGGAAATACGGAGAAAGCAGGAAAGAAAGGAATGAGACAGAGAGAGAGAGAGACAGAAAAACAGAAGAAGAAAAAAAAGCATGCGTGTCTGGGTCAACTCTGAAGCTTGCCCCCCATGCTGGCCTCGTCCATGATCTGTGCCCAGACGGGGCGGCGCTGCTGGCAAGGCCAATCTGCGATGATCTTGGCGTCCTCCCTGAGCAAGAGCATCATGGCCAAGCTGCACTGGGATGGCAAAACGAGTTCCCACCTCCCCAGGTCCCCAACCCACGAAGGGCACGACCAAATAGGCGCCCGACGTCTGGTCGGGCCGCTGCTTGCAGCTGTGACCGCTGAAGAGGCCTCGCGCGACGCCTCACGGGAGATCTGAAAGGGAGTCTGAAGCTCGGAAGGATCGGGGAGCACGGATGTCGTGAGGGGTTCACAGTGTCAGCCCAGCGTCAGCGCATTGTACCCCGGCCAAACCCCACTTGACCGTCCCTGTGACAGATGGGCAATCAAGAAACTTCAATGTGCAAACAGAAACCACCAATCTGAATGAGGCAAACCGAAAAAGTCATCCCCCGCACGTTTCGGCTGAGCGGCACATGTGCTCGAGGGGGCACCACTTGCAGCCCTCCATGGCCACACAGAGCGAGCACCTGGGGGATGAAGACTGCAAGAGGTATAACTCGCATGGCCCACTCCACACATGAAATTTATCATGAACCAACGGAATACTGTAAGCCCCAATTTATGGAGAACAACCACATGATCAGGTGAATGATTTATAAGATGTGGGAAGGCTCTGCGATTGAAATCGCTTGATCTTAGTTGCTTGAAATGCCTGGGTTGTGGGATAGCTTGGAAATCACATGCTAAAAGTGTTCAGTTGAAGATCTAAGTCAGGAAATCTCTACACCCTCATGAATTGGAAGCAGAATCACTGAATTGAACACATGTAAGCTGTTTACCAGGACTATGGACACCTAAAGCCCTATCATGATGTAGTTCCGCCTTCGCGATTCGTACATAGGTTCGTGTTCTGTATCGACAAGTTTACATCTCCACATTCTGCTCTCTGCACGTGTGGACATCAGAATCCAGTTGAATGATCAAATCCCCGAATGCAGGCTCCCTAAGGCAGGAAGGCCCCCATTGGACCTGCATGTGATGTCCTCTGTTGACAAGTGCCATGTTTCATATCGTAGCTTCCCATACCCCTCCAAAGACCCCACCCCTGCCCCTCGTTCTCGGCCCAGGGACTGGTTCTGCGATGCCTTCACGCTGGTGAGGCTCAACGACAGGCCTCGCGTACTCTGAGGCTGACGGTTCGCCCTCGAATATGACATGGTGTCCTGTTCGAAAAAGTGTGCGGTTCTCAGCGGCAGATGCTCCGCAACATATTCGAAGCATCGGAAGCTTGCAAAACGAGACCAAAAAGCAAAAAACTTTGCTGAAGCGTCGAAGTGAGATGGCACGCCAGACCCAAAGTCTCAACTTGAGCTGAGCCGCTGCCGCAGCTGTTCGAACTGCGGCTGAGGCCCACATCACCTTGTAGGGACATTCTAGGCACCCTGCAACTGTGCTCTCAGAGACAGCCGGCCAGCTTGTCGTGATGCTGCCAAAACAAAATCAACCCTTGATGGGCAGTAAGAGGATTTGCTGGCTCTTCCAAGCTGTGTTCAAGGCCACCAGCTGCGCGCTCTCCAAAGTATCTACACAAGTGTACCGGACTGTGTGTGTCTGTGTAGACAAAAGCTTACCACTCCGAATCCGAAGAAAAACAACGCAAGGCCATGCGGCAACGCTGCCAATCCATCAGACTTCATGGCACATGATGTATTCTTGCCCGGAACTCGCTGTCAATATGGCAACCGGTTCGACCTCAATCTGCCTTGCGGCCTTCTGAGAAAAGCCGGGTTTCATGGTCCAAAACCCAGGGCTGTTTTGGATTTGTTGCATGGCACGATCCAGTCTCACCCACCTTCAGAGAGCTAAGGGGCACTTTTCTAGACACCATTTTCAGGGTAAACGTCCTGGGTTTCCTGGGGTAATTGGAAACCATCTTAGAAGGAAAATCAAGGGCTTTCTACGCCCATTTATGGCCCTGCCACGCTGTGTGTGTGTGTAGGTGTGTCTGTGTTTCTGGCTCACCACTCACACAAAAAAGTCTTAGCGTCCGGCCACGCACGATTTCAAAAGCCGATCAGAGCAAACTGAGCAAACAACAGGAGGCACATGGTGATGCGGTCCCCTTTTTTGGGACACTTCAAAGAGTTCCCATTTCCCATAGGCATGTGGCTCTTGGAAAGACATTTCTTTGCTGGGGCAAGGCGAAGCGTGAATTGGGCAAAGCGCCCAGTGCCGAGGCGCTGAGCAGGCGGTGGGCGCTGCACCACCGGAAGCACAACACCCAGAGGAAGACCTTGCGCCCAGGCCAAGGCCCGTTCGAGGCTCTGATCAACGGGAGTGAGACGTCAAACGCAAAACCAACTAAAATAATCACATAGTCTGATGTCACCCATGCCTAGTGCAAACATGCGACAAATCCATGATCTCATAGCACCCTGGCAAGATTGCTCGACCTTGTTCCCTTGTTCAACCGAAGGAGTATGTGAACGATGCAATGGGAGTTTCAATGCGGACGCGCAGGGAAGAAAACTCAGACGGTCAGCCTCCAGGCGCGCCATGTGCCTGGGAAGGAAAAGGACGGGCAGTGGGGCAGGCCGAACCCCTTGGCCGTCAACAAGCGAACCCTAGGATTGGCAGGGGAACTGAGAACAGGAGTGAGCTGGACCCAGTTCATTGTCTTTGGCATGGGCCTTTCTTGCGAAAATTCACTACTTCATCTGGCCCTTTCAAAAGCAAGCTGGTCGAATGCGGTCGGGCGCAGCTCCAACCGAGCACTCTGCATTTGTCCCTTTGCTACCATTGGCAAAGACGCCTCAACAAATTCATGAATGTCTGGTTTTGAGCCTCCTCTGATGGCCGAAGACGAGACCGCTTCATTTGGAAACCTGCCCACCCAGGAAGTGTGACACCTTTGGCAAGCGCACAAGCGCAGCCAAGCAGCATTGGATTTGCCAAGCAACCGAAGGTGACTGGAGCACACACCGCGGGGCCAATCTCTTCGCATGACCAAAACGCGGCTAAAATCTCCTTCAGCGCAGCCAGGAATTCGCCAGATCACCCATGTTGTCATAGCTCGCAGGAAAAGCAATACAGTATGGATGTCTCCAAAAAAACGAACCCCTACTTTGGGCTTTATAGAGGAGTGGACAAATCCTGAGCCCAGACAAGCCCCAGCCGCGCTTTTTCCCCCCGCGGCTCAAGCCTGGCCGGGCAAGCGCCCACATGCCAAGGCCCTCGACTCTGAGAAAGGACAAAGCCCTCCTTGCAGCCAAAGTTTTCTGAAACATGATGAAGTTGATATGAAAGCATGCATGTTGGTGTTCCAGGCGGGAGAACTTAAGTCATACAATCTCAGTTGTTGCAGCCCTTGAGCCACGAGTGAAAACACAACAGCCATCCGGCGATGTGCCTCGCTCCTTGACATCCCAGTCACATACCGCTTCGAAACCGGCGGCTCAACCACGCCTCGTGAATCTCGTAATCCCCGTTGATGCCAGTGGGCACCAGGTGGAAGCCTGCAGCCTGCACGTGGGCCTGGCAAGACTTGCCCAAGCCCCTCTCAAGGTGTGGGGGTGGGTGGGGGTGGGGGTGGGTGGGGTGGGTGGGTGGGTGGGTGGTGGGGTGGGTGTGGGTGGGTGGGTGGGTGGGTGGGTGGGTGGGTGGGTGGGTGGGTGTGGTGGGTGGGTGGGTGGGTGGGTGGGTGGGTGGGTGGGTGGGTGGGTGGGTGGGTGGGTGGGTGGGTGGGTGGGTGGGTGGGTGGGTGGGTGGGTGGGTGGGTGGTGTGTGTGTGGGTGGGTGGGTGGGTGGGTGGGTGGGTGGGTGGGTGGGTGTGGGTGGGGTGGGTGGGTGGGTGGGTGGGTGGGTGGGTGGGGTGGGGTGGGTGGGTGGGGTGGGGGGGTGGGTGGGTGGGTGGGTGGGTGGGTGGGTGGGTGGGTGGGTGGGTGGGGGTGGGTGGGTGGGTGGGTGGGTGGTGTGGGTGGTGGGGTGGGTGTGGGGTGTGGGTGGGGGGTGGGGTGGGTGGGGGGGGGGGTGGGGTGGGTGGCGGCGGCGGTGTGGGTGGGTGGCGGCGGGGCGGCGGGTGGGTGGTGGGTGGGTGGGCGGCGGCGGGTGGCGGCGGGCGGGTGTGGGCGGTGGTGGTGGGCGGCGGTGGGGCGGCGGCGGGCGTGGGCGCGGGCGTGGCGTGGGCGTGGCGGGCGGTGCGTGCGGTGGCGGCTGGCGGGGCAGTGCTGTGGGGCGGCGGGCGGCGTGTGCGGGGGGCTGGCCGTGGCGCATGCGTTGGTGCACACAGGGCCGATATTGCTGTGAGGCTGTGCGTGCGCAAGGCTGTGGTGGGTGTATGTGCGTGCGTGGCTGCGCCCACAGTGCCTGCACTGTGGTGCGTGGGCGTGCTGTAGTGTGCGCATTGCGTGCACGTGCTGCAATGTTTGCATGGCATTGTGCTGTGCATTGCGTGTGGTGCTGGCGTGGGGTGTTGTGCGTGCAGGTTGTGCTGGTATGTGTGGTGGCGGCGTGCTGTGCTTGCGGTGGTGCGTGCGTGGGTGTCAGCGTGGCGTGCTATGTGCGAGTGCGCAGCGGCGCAGCGCGCGCGCGCGGCGTAACGGTGGCGTGGGCGTGCGTGCGTGCGTGTGTGTGTTTGTGTGTGTGTGTGTGTGGGGGGGGGGGGGGAGGTGAGCTTCTGTTAATACCAGAAAGCTGCATCTGACAATGGGTGCGTTCCGGCATCTGTTTCGTGAGCGTGTCCGAAATGGCAGCGGACGCCAACATCAAGAGAAGGAGAAACCCCACTTACCACGAGGCTTTTCAACCACAGGATGGTAGACATCAAATGATGTTCAAAGGGACCAAATAAAACTGCAGTGCAAGGTCGGCTCTTCGCCTTACATCCTTGGGGCTGTCGACAAGGCCAGCTGGCATGACTGTTCTTGTTTCCAGGGCTGGCTCATACATTGAGGCACCCATTAAATGACAGTTCCCCGCAAACAAAAGTGAAGAGTGCAAGTGCCCTCAAAAAAAAGAGGAAAAGAACAAAACATGGCAGGAGCCTTGGGTTTCAAGTACCATTATAATATATATATATATATATATATATATATATATATGTATATATATGTATATATATATATATATGTGTGTGTGTATATGTATGCATATATATATATATATAGCCGCAGGCCCGGCTCACCTTCTTGAGTCGCAGCTGGGAGCCCAGGATGCTGAGCAGCAGAGGGCTGCTGGCCCTGGCGAGCATCTCCTGGATCTGCTGCCGGTGGTCCTCTCGCGCTTTGAAACCGTCGGGGTTTTGACTCGGAGCTAGCGGCTTGGGGAAAGATGCGTATGGCCGTGGGTCCAAACCCAAATCGTCCCAGTGAACATCCCAATCCAACCACTAAAATAGACCATGAATTCATATTTGGCTATAAATCAAAATAGAATCCCATTTTGGTTGGTAGGTGAATTCACCACCCATTTTAGGACCTATTTTAGTGAGGATTGGGATGTTCACTGGCTATACGATTTGGCTTTTGACCCATGGCCATTTACACATGAATCCAGTATTGTCTCAACAACCTCCTTTTTTGCGCTCTGTTTCGAAGGCTCTGGTCGGGAGAACGAATCTTGCCCAACGGATGGTACCTGTTGTCTGTTTGTTTTGAAGTTCGAGTTGCTTCCCCGGCCTCCGGTCTGCCGACAGGCGCCGGCAGCGCCATTACTCCCGCTGCTGTTGGCATCCCTCGCAGAAGCCGCCGCCGCCGCCTCAGGCAGAAAACGCCGGAACGCCAATTCCAGCACCAAGACCGAGCTATGGCAACCAAAAAATCCGAATGCATCCTCCAAAGCTCCAAGCTCCTTCTGGCCGAGCCAAGGCACTCTGCCGCATCAAAGACCTCAAAATCCCGGCCCGTCGGGGCCATGGAGAAGCCTGCCGTCTCCACCTGCTCCTGGAAGGGTACCCGTTTATTTGTTTCTGTTTTTCTTCGGCTCAAGTTGGGGGGTTGTCCTCACAGGCTACCCGGCGATTGTTCTTCTTTTTTTTGTCATGGGGTCGCCTGACTTGGGAGTGGGGGAATTTCCAAAGGCCATGACGTTCCAGCGTGGGTTTGCACTGACTCGAGCCTTCATCAGCTATTTGAGTAGACGGCAGTAGTGCGTCTTTGCCGCTGGTGAAACCATTGCCTCAAGCCAAACCTCTGAAAACGTTGGTGCCAGTGCCTCACCCCAGAACCCCCTCACCGCGCAAAGAATGGAGAAGCGGGCATGTCCTTCCTCTCTCACCTCACTCACCTATAGACTTGGTAAGCAGCTTTGTGTGGTGAGTGAAGGTGTGCGAGAGAGAGGCCGGAAAGCTTCTGCCTTCATAATGTTGCTTCCGGAGTCATCTCCTTCCTATCGGGAGTGTGTGGACGAGTGCAGCTACGAAGCGAGGAACAGCCTCTCCCCTTTCGATCTCCCCATAGGCCTTCTTGAGGCGCAGTGACCGAGAGATGCAGCTCATCAGGGCACTGCCGCCTTGTGAAGCCAGGAACCCTTGGATCAGCCGCCGGGCATCCGGCTCCTGCGAGCAAAAGCCAAAGGCGGCATAGCAAACCCAAGCGCAGAGGTCCAAAAGTCTGGGTTCCAAAAACCGAGCTTTTCACGGCTTTGCGGTTTCCAAAAAAAGGGCCGACCATTGACAAAGGCCCCCTTTCTTGGACTCCCTTAACGATCTGCCTCCGGGTGAGGGCCTCGCGGGGCGAGCAAGGAGCCTCGAGGAAAGGCAAACGGCAAGCAAACACGCGTGTGCTAGCCTTCTGGAGTAAGAACTTGTCCGAATCCTCATCAAGCTGGCATACCCGTCGTTTGCAATACGAATCTAAATTCAGATTCAGGGAAGTGAAAACTGCCTGGTTGGGATCCAGGTTAAAGGGGTCAACTTTGATGTTCTACGATTCTACGCCAGCGTGCGGCTCTGTCACTATCTGCTTCGCCCTCGAAATAAGCATCTCTGGCCTGGCCAACCAAGCAACCTGTGACGGGAATCGCTTCATTTATTTGACTGGAGAGTCACACAGGTGGACGGTTTCTTCACAAACTGTGGCCCAAAGACTTTTAGAACCAATGACAACGGTCATCCGGTGTGTCGTACATTCTGATGCACCCCTTCAGTGGCTGCACAAAGGGACACTTGGAGAAGCTCCGATTCCCTTCTTGTGGGGGCCGGGTCCATTGCGCGGAAGCCAGTCTCATGCTGTCCCTCAAGCCCCCGGGCCAGTCGGAGCAAACCTGGGGCCGAGGGAGCCAGGGCCAAGTCTTTCTCAGCACCTTTCTGAATGAGATGGTTGTGAGTGCCGGTCATGAAAGCGGACCCCTTCTATTGAAAGCTTCGAAAGACTACGCGTTCCCCACCTGGGCTTGGATACAAGTGAATGTGTCCACCTTGCCAAACGGCAAAATTTGAAACACCATTCCCCAGCGCAGATTGAAAATGTGTGCATGTGTGTATGTGTGTGGGTGTGCATGTACAAATACATATGCATGAAGCGTCCATGCACCTGTTGCGTGTGCGGGCGTGCGCACATCATATGCGTTTGGGCGTGTTCACGTGGGTGTTCGCACACGCGCGCACACGTTCACATCAGGTACATACGCACGTACTTGCGTGCGTGGACACATGTGATGGACTGCGTGCGTGCGGGTGCACGTGTGTTGGCGTGCGTGCATGCTGTGCGTGCAAGTTCACGCGCACGCATTGCCGCGACTGTGAGGTGCACGTGCGTGTCCGTATGCGTCTGCGCTCGCGTCGGCTGGTGCGACCCTGCCCAACCATAACTCCTGCGACCTGCTCACATGTCCCTTAGCCTCTCTGCCAAGGGGCCCGATGCCCAAGGCATCCGCGACATCGAAGTCGCCGTCGCCCCGTGGCGTCAGCGTGAACCCCGCGGCCTTGATGTGCTCCTGATCCCAAGAACCAATAGCTTGGCTACCTGGTTACCCAGAAGTGAACGTTGGAAGCGAGAGCAAAGACGACACTCCACCGGAAGTTGAAAAAGGACGACCAAAACGCGAACCGGAGATCCGCGCCGAATGCCGAATCGCCTGAACCGGAGACCCGGGCCGTCCCGCCGTCCCGCCTTCTTCAGGCCAAGCCCGCCTCCTATGCGGCTCATAGACACCTGCCCATCGTGGGGCAGAAGGCATTCCAGGATCCGCCGCCGGTCCTAGGGAAAAACGAATCTCCTAAACCGAATCCCCGACCCGGAACCCCTGAACCCAAAATTCCGAAGAACCGACCCCCGAACTCTCGAACAAGTCTGTCTTGCAATCTGCTCTTCTTTGGGTTGTGAAGTTGTGACCGTCCGCTTCCCTTTGAAACAAATCCGAGGAATCGAGGAACATAAAGAGACTCGCCATCAAATCAGCTGGTTCTGGCCCAACCCGCCGGGCCTCCTCAGCACCTCGCGACCCTGGCGGGTTGAAACATGTCCAAACTGCCCATGGCCAGACGAAGGCACTGGAAAGGGGAACATGAACGATGCAATTTGGCAACGTATGTCACGTTGAAAAGCAAGCTGTGCAAAGTGGGTACCTTCAAAGAACCCGGGACACTCATCTAAACAGCAAGCGCTGACGATGGCTTGCCCATTGATGATGTCGGATCCCGATTGGGACGAACATCAAATCTTGTGCGAGCTCCATTGATTGGGCACGTGTTCAATTGTCAACAGGATGTTGGACAAACACCTTCTCTGCCCATACCACGTGTGCCGCGGCAATGCTGGGGCATTGGCATTGGCGCTTACTCCATGTCTCCACATGCGAAAATCATACAGGCCGCAGTGCGATCTCGGGCCACGTGCTTTACAACATACGTGTTTGGACTCCTTTCAAATGCAGCACAGGTCCAGGAGTTTAAGCTGATTAAGGATTCTTGACCAACTGCAAACGTCTTCTCAGTATATGATGAATCCATCACAAGACTTTTGTCTGCTGGTCATGGTTTGTGTGCAAATCCCTGCACCATCGCTACCTGCAAACGGCCAAGCTCACGTAACCCTCCCCGCCTCGCCCCTCTCCGGTGCCTGCTGGAGGCCTGCTTGGCATCGCCGGAACGCGCCTGCGCGGGTGCCAACGAGGCGGCCTTCGCCACAAAAATTCGGGGGCAAAACGAAGTCCGAAATGGGGACCTGGATTTCCCCCCATTCCACGCCATTGACTGCCAGTGCAAAGTCTGGAAGCAACAGACTGGGCAGGCAACGTCAAGACGATCAATGAGCTCTCTGAGGTCCGATAATGTGCTCTCACGGTGGCATGACAACTTTTGTGGGTACATGCTCCATGCGAATGTACCCGTGAGGAAGCAACACCTGTTCAACGGAACCTTCTTTCAGCTTGCCCCAAACATCATCCACGACAAAGTAAAAGGCGCAAACGGCGGCAGCGGAAGGTGACAAAAGCAGTGCCCTCTATTGATCAAACGACTGGGCCCAAGCCAAACCTGGCTTTGCATTGGTGGCCTATGGCATAACGCAGGTACTGACCTCCCAGCGGAGGCGGCCTCTCCGGCTCCAGTCCCTCCGATGCGTCCTGAAGGCAGATGCGGTGGCTTCCGCGGGGCGAGAACCGCCGAGCAAAGAGCACAAGGCGAATCCAGGCGCTCCGGTACCCAGGAACCCAGTGCAGCTGGGACATGCGGCAAACGCCAGGCGCAAAAACACGGCGCATCGGACGTGAGCATGCCAACAACAGGGACTCCTGGGACCGAAAAGAGGTCATGGACGATAACCAACATGCTCGAGGCGCCTTGCCAACCAACACCTCAATCAAGCCCAGTTCATTGGTTCATTCAAGTTCAGGGATGAATCTGTCTTGCAAGAAAAAGCGGCTCTCCTTTCTCTGAGGATCCTTAGAACAGCCGTCTCATAAGACATCGCACAGCTTGACAACGATCTCTGCGAAGCCCGAAGCAAAGAGCTTGACCATATCAAAAAAATGCGACACCTTGCTACCGACCCCCCGCGAGCAGATGGGGCTCCTCCTGCTTAACTTGGCCTGGCCGGTGGCTACTCTGACAGCAGGGTCGAGCAGCCACTTGAACAATCCACTGCAAACCAAAGTGATGTGCAGTGAATGTCAATCCTGCCAATCATTCAGCACCTGTGCTGGTTGATGTGCGACTGTCTGCAGCTGGCATGATCTGCGGGCATCTCTGCGCAAAGTAGCCAAATGCCGAAACATAGAAACACTACCCCGACGAAGCAAGCAACCAGTTGCAGCCGATCACAATCGTCCCTTGCCTCGACCAGTCCTGAACTCAGCGGGGTTCCCGTCTAAGAGGCATTCGCTGACTGCACCAGCATTGTCATGGGAAACACTATGAAATATGTTCCTTTGGCAACCATCCTTCGCTCAATCGAAAGAAGCCATCCCAGATGGAATTCCGGCGGACCAAAGGCAAAATGGCTATTGGCTCCTGAGTAAAATGCTTTCGGGGGGGGAAAAAAAAAGCTTAGGCAGCGCAATTACAAGATGCTGTCTTATCTTCGCCAAGCTGAATCAAAACACCCAATGTACGCTCAAAGCATCGAACGTGGCAAAACAAGCGTGGGCCCGCATCATCGTACATGCTCATAAGCACCTAGCAACTTTCTCCAAGAACTGTATGGCAACCATGACGCGAATTCAGCGTCAACCTGACTTGCACAAAAAATGGAGAATGCCATGGTGTGCGACGACTCTGGTGTACCAAGATACATTCCCTTAGCTTACCATGCAACACACGGCACTGGGTTGCATTTGTGTTGCATTTGCCCTTCTCTCGCCGTTGCCTTTGCATGTGCATTGCATTGCATGACGCAACATTATTGTGGTCATTCAATGGCGCATGCATGGGCAGCGCGCATTCATCGCGCAAAATCGACTCTGTGTACATCATTACATCATGTATTGCTTGCACAGTGGCTTCATTCCATGGGTTGTATGCATTGCAAACAGTGTGCATACACTTCCTACACTCGCAAGGAGCTCACACATGACTCTCGATGTTGAATGTATAATGTGGCACTCGCATACATTGTATACCCTTTTATAGTGATAGTTAAACTTCTAATACACTACATGACATTGCATCCAATTACATACCATGGCATGCCGTTGCATGCCATCAAAATCATCGCAAACCTTTGCCAGATACCGCACTATCCTACTCACATCACATGGCTGTGGCTTAAAAAATCCGGTACCAAAATGGAACCTTGGTACGTGGACACATGGACCAAAACCCGCGTAACCCCTCCAGTTTTATTTTGAGCCACAGCCACATGGAGGGATACATCAAAGAATATTGCCGACAAGCCTTTGGGCCTTGCACGTCCCTTTCATTCCCACCCAGAGTCGCCCCCAGACTCCCCGGACAAAAGCGTAACCAGCTGGCCCGCCTGCGCTAGGCTTTCGTTTCCTCAGAAAACGGGAGAACTGAAGACTGACACACAATCAGACAATTGACCCAATTGCCTGGCTCCGAAGGTGCTCTCGATAAAGTCGCAAAACCCGGCGCCAGGCCTCTTTCGGCTGGAGGCCGCAGGCGGCTGGCCTCCCGAACAATCCGGACCGCTGGTCTCAAATTGGTTGCTTTTGCGCTTTTGCCTTGTGTAAGATGCGAGAAAGCCACGGATGCGACTTCAAACTCCAACACAGACTCTTTTTGGGTGCAACCACGATACAGGAAAGTCTACGCCGGCGCCCTTCTTCACCAAAACCACGGGACAAACCGAACCGGCCTAAAATGAGTAGGACGTGTTTCGAAGGTCACCAACCCCCCTGCAAAATAATAGATGCTGTCGGGTCCCCACTCTCCCTCCCCCAACCCCCGCCGCTGCCTGTCTCAGCTGGCCTCGGCAGCTTGCAGTCTGGTGCCAGGAAGGTCCAAAAGATTGCTAAACCTGAACAGCAGCATCCAAGAGTTGCTGAACAAGGACCAGGATTGCTGCCCCAGAGTGGAGGAACAGAGAAGGCAGCACACTGAGTAGCTGACTGGAAAACTGGTGGCCCAACGGAGCCTTCCACAAATGGAAGAAGGGAATGCCTTCTCTTTAGCAAATCAAATTAGGAAGTCCACCCACCCACCCACCCCCCTCCCGAAAAGTTCGCGTCCAGGCTCCCAGCGCAGCCAAGTTGGGCGCCTCCGTCGGCAAATGTGCCCAGAGGCCCGATGTGTGGACAAAACCCGGCCCGATGTTTGCTGGACACAAATGTTTGACGTGAGCGGAGGATGATAGCCCACTTTGCTGCCAGAACCGACACTGAAAGCTGGAAGGCCAGCACATGCGCCGCCAAAGCTGCGAAACATGCACATCAAACAATTGCAGGACTTAACACATGGGAAGAGTCATTGGCAATAAACCAACCTGTTTCCCCAAAGGAACAAATTAGGACATGAGTCGCCTGTTGTGTGTGGTTGATTTTTAGCGCAATGTCCTTCCAAATGAAGCAATGATACTGTTTAAATATATATATATATATATTTAGATATCATATGTTTGTATCATATACTTACCTCTGTGTTTCCTTATGTAAGTACAGGTAGGTATCTGTCTATCTATTGATTTATTTACTTATTTGTTCGTAAACGTATGTGTTGTTTCTTTTTTCCTATGTGTCTACTTATTGTTATGTATCTGCTGATATGTGTGTGTGTGTGTGTGCGCAGTGGATCAGTTGCGTCCACACTCTAAGCCCTAAACCTTCAAACATCAAGCGCCAAAATCCGCAAGTCTTTCGGAACAAGACTCAAGACGACATTCCAGAGCAGAACGCCAAATTGAGCACAAGTCTCTGGCTCCAAGGGCCCGATTTCGTCCCGGCCTGCCGCTCCATGGCCCGAGCCAGTGAGCCTCGCGCGAAGCCTGGCCGAGTCAGAGTCTCTTGGAGTCCCTTAACTCGCTGCTCAAATTTCAGAATGGAGCATGGCTGAAGCTTGCTTCCCGGCAAGCTCAGGGCAAGCCATCAGAGCAGGTCTACCTCTGGAGGCAAGAACATGTTACCCATCTTGGCAGGTGAAGTGATCTAAAATGACCGGCCATGAGCAGGTTGACCAACATTTCGTTCACCCATGGTGTTGCTTTCTTGCGACAGATATATACACATCTAGTCGTCTGGTCCAGTACTTTCTTGACTGACCTAGGATGGGGGTTGGCCAAAACTTGGAGCTGTGCAGATAGCACTGCCGTTGATCGTGCTTCAAAAACTCGGATGCGATTGTGTCCCCATTTTTAAAAGCTCTACAGCATGGTGTCCCAAGGCACCTCAATCTCTGAGGCGAAAAACCTCAAAAAAACCCATGCGAATGATGTGACAATGAGGGACAAAGCTCCTCTGCTGCTCTTGAAAAAGGCTTGGGTTACAACCCTGACGGATCAATCGAATCAAATGAGGGCGAAGCGTTGTGTTGGGCTCCCTTTCCAGGTTCAAAACGATCCTGCTTGAAAACTTCCCACTGCCGACCGATTTGCGGGCGAAGCATCTGTGGCAGTCTGTTTTTTCTTCAAGTATCCAAAGCTTCTCGCAAGTGAGGGCCTGGTCTGCCGGCGGTTGGCTTCTTTATGACCATTCGCGGGGGGCCATTGATGTCCAATTTGAGTTGGTCCCAATCAGAATGCAACAAGGTGTTTCCAGGCCCGCTCCGGATCCCATATTCTGCCTTTGGCGCTGGTCGGCCCAACTCCTGCGCAGTCCCTCACTTGAAGCTCTCCAGCCAGAATGGCTATGACATGATGTCCAGGCTTGCTCAAGGTTGTGTTGCCCTGAGCCTACGGCAACGACTCCATTCCTTGAGGAGTCTTGATCAATCACGGCTTTTGAAGTGCGCAAAGCATTGATAATTCTCCCTCTGTATGGCAGTGTGCTGCCCATGCAGGTTTGCCCCCACTCGTTTGCTGACATGCTGCAATTTCGGCAAGGCCCTGGGAGACAAAAGCTTACAACGTGTTGTATGTCGAGTGCTGCGAGCAGCTACCGTGCAAGCGTCTGCAAGAGGATCGTTTACATCGCCAGCGCTTGAGTTTGGTGCAACACCAACAGTGCAGAATCATACGTGTCATTATCAGTCCACATCACGCACACAAAATCATGTAGAACAGAAGGCGCTCTGGTGTTTTTTTGGAATCTGAAAGCCGAGAAGCATGTGCAGGTGCACATGTTGAGCCATGCCCAAACGGGGCACAGGTTTAACAAGTCAAGGATGAATTTTGCCAGTCCTGCAGGTGCTAACCCGTCTCCGAGTCGACCCTCGTCGAACGCATGCCACCCCCCAGCGGGAGCAGTCACTTTTGCTTCAGTGAAATTGTGTCAGAACGGATCAACCTCCGGTTCGTTTGAGGGCACAGCTCAAAGCCAATGACTCCGCCCCAGACTTTGGTTTCCCGAACATCTTGGGTTTCCTTCGCCCTTCCCCGCACCTTCGAAGCTGAAGGGCACGGTGGACCTGAGGCTCCCTCGCCCCGAAGCTCCGAAGCACCGTGCACGAACTTCCGATCAAGGTGAAGTGGGTATGGGTCAAAATTAAACCACCAGGGGACCGCAGGTTTTAGTCTCTGTTGCCATTTACCAGGGTTCCATTCTTGGTAGCTAGTTTTGACCCATGGCCAAGAGACCAAAGTCACTAAGTGGGGTTCTCCATGGAAAAGAGAAATGACCAGGTATCCTCACAGAAGCTTACTCAGGTCGAAGGGGCCCCCCGCTCGAGCGCCCGGGCGGGTCCCGGACGTCGTAGTCCCCGTTGGCGTTGGGCTTGGGGGTCAAAGTGAAGCCAGCCGCCAGCAGCTGACCCTCCCAGGCCATTCGACAAGCCCAAAGCACCCGAAGGCAGCCAGACTTCCGGCTGAGCGGCTTGTGTGTTGTTGTCAGAGGGGAGAAGATTGTCCAAAGGCCGGTATCGGAGGAGTCAGTATTCATGCACCGGTATTCAAGATTAAAGTGATAAGCCAACTCCAAATATTTATGAAATTGTGATCCTTGCCATGGATTTGTCTGAGCCCCTTCTTCTTGATTGGTTGTTGGCGTTCACTGTCAGCAGTAGGGGGCCTGCTTGAACTGCCAAGCAGATGACCAACTCACTTTCTTCCCTTTAGATGTCAAACCCACCTTTTCGGCAAGTTGAAAGCCGGGCTGGTGATGCGGAAGCAGAGGACCCGGCAACAAAAGCAGATTTTGGAGCAGAGCTTGCCCCAGCCGCCAGCGCACTCCAGCGAAAGGTTCAAAGTGCACGTGACCCCTCTTGTGCACCGAGCCTCAATTTTGGGCCTCAACCCATTCAAGTGAGCCATCCGCCTGCTTACATTTAGAGAAAAGAAGAAGAAAAGTGCAACAAGAGAGAGGCATACATGACTGTGGTCGGTCCCTTGAAATAGAAAGGCTCTTCCTTCTCCGCCCGACCCGACTCGGCCTTCTTCACCCTGAAGCTGCCGGCCAGCATGCTCAGCGGCGCTGTTCCGCCCCGCTCCGCAAGGAAGACGCGGGCCGCCTGGCGCCGTACCCGAAATTTTCGCACCTGAAGAGCTTGCTGATACCCCAAGGGTTGCAACTTCCCAGCTGTGTCCCCAAATTGTTCACAGACGCGTCTGGCAAACCAGAGTCGTGCCTCCAGCGAGTCCGCGTCGGCCTCCTGACAGCCAGCTGGGACTTCCCCGCGCAAGTTTCCCAAGCATAGGCCTTCCAAAGTGCCCAGCGGCATGGGCCTTCCAAGCCCACAGCCAGCCCCAAGTCGGACGCCCGTGGCCAGTTTCCCCGCCTGCGGAGTTTCCGGAACGGGATATCTCGGAGTGGCCAGAGCCTGGCGTCAGACCAACGTCTCAAAATCGGAGTGCCGGCACGATGGGATTGTTGCAAAGGGAAACCGAAGAATGGCCTGCAATTCAGATGGGCCCCGCATGTGTCAAGACTCGCTGCAATCTGGCACACCAGGTCTACAAGCAAACGCTCACTTGTGTATCTTGCAGCCCATACAACTGCAGCTCTCACAGACGAAACCAGGCAGCCCCGAATTCCAAAAACGGCCCCAGCTGAGCCTGGCCAAGATGTGGAGTGCGTGGCGCGAAACCCGCGAAGCCCAGAGTAGCCGGGACAGCCTAGTCAAAAGCAGTGGCAGCTGAGGCTTTCACGATGGCTTCGGTGCCTTGTGCCAAATGGACCTCGCCCCTAGCTGAAAAGCGGGCCATCATGAAAAGCCCTGTTGTCAGTGGACAAATGAAAGACCTCTTGCAAGAAAATCGGAATTTCGCTTGGCTTGCAGTATCTATTGACACAAGCAACTCGTTCATGTCAGGGAGTCAACAAGCCATGCTCTATCATAATTCCGGCCCCTGGCGCCCAACATCTTGAACACGCCAGATTCTAAACCAACTCCAACACGGATTTCAACACGGCCTTCTTTTGTCGCTTCTGCGGACGTGCAGCGGCACGCCGCACAGGAAAGTCAGGAGTGCGTGGAGCAGCCTGGCATATCGGACTTCAAACAACAATGGCATTCCCGCAAGACCTTACTGTTTTCTGGTGCGTAAAAGCAGGCGTTCATTGGCTCATTGCAGTGCAGTGCGATCGCTGCAAGTGAGACCTGTAAGCACTGCAGCAGTTGTCTCGGCTCGGCACATGGAAAAGTGATCCAATGTTTGGGTAGTCCAATGACACGTCCAGGTTCAACTGCGGGGGTTTCAACACTTCTGTCAGTGGCAAATCCGTTTCTCAAAGTTTAGCCTTCTCGTGTCAAACGCCATTGATTTGACTGCTGCGCTGCAGTTTTGCAGCTGCGTCGTACGCTGCAAAGGCTCTCTCTCTCTCTCTCCATCTGGACAATCAGTGATCGTTGCCTTTTGCAGCAAACGAAATGTCTGGCTTAGAATTTGTGGCCACCTTTTCTGTGAAACCCTGAAGCGTCAAGTGTGCAAGCAAGATTCATCCTGGATGTATATAAACATGTTGCAGGAAGGGCCTTGCTGACATGCAAGCACACGGGTGGCAAATTCTGCAGATTGTCTTCCAGCAAGTGCATGAACCACAAAATATCATTTGGTTGCAGCCGCCAATGACATCGGATGAAGTGCAACTGCAAGTGTACAAAGTGTGCAGCAAAATGACTTCAACCACTGCTCCCGCTGTCACAAACCCACCTCTTTGAACGCCAGAGGAGGAGTTGCCGCGAAACCCGCGCGACCCGGAGATGGGGCCGCCTGGCCAAAAAGCTGTCGGTGAGGCTTTCAGAAAAGACTCCTTCGCTGGTGTCTGGCCCTAACTCGCCCCTGATCCCTGTGGTCCGCAGGAATACAGGGCCTCCGCTTAACCGTGCCTGCAAAGGTGGAGGCGTGAGGGGCGCTCCGCGGAAAGCCGGAGTCGCTGGAGCCTCCAGGAAAGAAGTGACTCCCCCGAACCAACGAAGAGCCCCTTGGATCTCCTGGGAGCTACACTGCGTTTGACTGACAAGCAACCATAGCTTTCAATCGTACGGCGTGGAGGAGGCACAAGAATCTGATGGATTAATCTTTCAGATGCCATGAAGCCCAGTTCAAAAAGCCTACAGCGGTTTTGAACACAACCTCATGCTTGAATTGAGGACTCTTGGACAAGACAACCACTTTGCGGGGATTCCAAATGACTTGTTGCTGCCCAGAGTTTGGGGTGTTGAGGATAAGCTGCCTGTGGGCCACAGGCTGCAACTAAGTTCCCCTTCGCATCCGTGCCCATGTGGGGAATCGGTCATTACATGTACCAATCATGATTTTGTGCAAGCAAAACCCAAATCCAAGAGCATGTCAAGTCCGAATTCTAGACACACACTTCAAACACCATCACACGTGTTGCGCCACGGTCGTAGAATGAATGGGGCTCCAAATCTGCTGCATGAGCTCAGTGTGTCTTGGCTATTGGTGCTGAAATGTGCATCTTGCCCCAAGCGGCGTTGCCTCAATGAGACAGGTGTTGCATCTCTTTGTTTCAGCCCCTGTCAAAGCAGGAAAACAAAAAGTCGGCTGCCGAAAGGTCCAATGGGCAGACCCCCCAAGGTATGCTGAGCACTGCTTGAGAACAAATTGCTTTTCAGCTGCAAACCATAGCTAGGCCATCTGAGAATCTGAGTAACAAACCATCCATATGCTACGCGTCTCTGTCTGGAATTTACGCCTGGCAGTGCTGTCAGCATAAACAAAACAAACTCATGGGCTAGGTGCAAGTGTTCTGCATTGAGCCCTTCTGCGTTCTGAGTATGGTATGTGGGCATGCTTCTCATTCATTTCTATCCCTCGTATACACTTTGGAAATGCATAGTGTTGCACCTCAATGTGGTCATGTATGAGCACATTGCTTTCCGCATGTTCTCTCCATTCCTGTCCGGATCCTTCGACCATGAATTGACTGAGAGGGTGCCGTGGCCAAAAGTTGCGATCCTCCCCACTCTTTCGCCCAGCCCACAGCATTGGCTCACTGAAGCTCACCTGAAGAGATTCCATAGCAGGAACGTCAGGGAATTCAAGATCCCTGATGGCAATGCTTTGACCACGGAACCCCGAAAACGCCATCACAAGCAGGGCAGCGTCCCAACACCAAAAGCTGAACTACAAGCTTCGCTCGAGAAAAATCATCAAGGCAGGGGGTTCAACTTTTTGACTGCCCCAAGATAGACTTAAAGCCAAAGGTTCTCCTTTGGGGGGAATGAGCCAGCCCTGGGCTTCAGTCTACCCCGGGCTGGTCAAAAAGTGGAACCCTGCATCAAACACATGCAGGGGTCCGGCCACGAAGCCATGTTTCTCTGAAGGCAGACAGCACGAACCACTGGAATCCGCCTGCGGCGGAAGCTCAATCATCCACCTAAGGCGAGAAGGAGCCCAGAAGAACTGGAAACCCTGCTGAGCAACCTTCATGTGCCTGTCAGAACCAGCCGGCGGGCTGGGTTTTCTGATTCAAGTGCTGAGATCCCGAAAACTGATGATTGGATGCCCCTCCCTTAAAATAAAGATGTGATGTCTTCATGAGTGACCGAGACGACCTCTTCAAATGTATGTTGCCTTTGTCAGTCACTGTTCTCCTGCTCCTGAGAAGTCATTCGCATAATAAAAACCAAGTAGTCCCAACCAAAAACTTTGTTGGCTAACCTGCCATGAATTTGTCTCAATCGCATCTCTCCTGTTGGTCTTTCAGTCTCCCTTTTGGCAGCCTGTGGCATCAAATTGAACTGGCCTAGCAACATATAGATCTACGTGAAGCAGGAACTAAGCAATCAAAATATCATAAAATGACAGAACAAAGGAAAGGTGTGAATGATCGCTTTCTTCACAGGTTTGCCAGATTTTGACAGTCCCACGCCCACGCCTTTTAGCAACTTGGCCCTGGGATGTCCTCCCCCGATCCCAGCACCACGTAAGGCAGCCAGCCATATCGGCCTCAACACTCACCTGAGCTCAGCTCGGCCCCCGGGCTCCTCAAAGCTTCCCACGAGCTCCTCAGGGCTCAGAGCCATGCGCGCCAGCAGCAGCCGCGGCGAAGGCTCCGAGACCTGACCCAGTCAAGAAAGCAATCCAAGGGCTCGGTCTCTCAAAACTGAGGCCCTTTTGGACGGGAAGGAAGCCGAGAGGAAATCAACATGCAGGAACCAAGAGCCCGCAAAGGGCCCATGAATCTCGACGACCTGCCTCATGATTCAATGAGCGAAAAGTGCCTGCGGCCAGCGATACAAAGAAATGGAATCCTGTGTCCTAAAAAGGAAAAGTCATCTTGCGCTGCAGGTTGAGAACATGCCACCACTGTTGAAGCTGCAGCGCTTGCTGTGCGTAGATGACCGCAGTGAGCGAGTGCTAGAAGGACTATCAAACAGAGGTTTGAACTAAATACTTGATGGGATGGAAAATGCGTTTGACCATGCACTAAGCAAACCCGCTTGCACTTGCAATCCCCAAGCTACAAGAACAATGGAAGCTCTTCGCTGCTTGGCAAGCTACCCCAAGCGGTGTTTCGTGGTGGCATCTCAAGTGAGATCCATATGTCTCGGGGAGGCCATAGCAAGGTGAGAGGTGAAGAGTTCCAGCCCGGCGTTAACATCAAAAGCAATGTGCCGCAGGGAAACGTGCAGTCGTTCTTCTTTGAACATCGAATACCATTCTCCGCCTGCCTGGAACCGGCACCAGGCCCAGCCCTCCTCCTCCTGACACAAGCGCTTCAGCCGCGGTGGGTTGTACTAGTCAGGGGTGGTTCCCCTTCTATTTCGGACACTAAGTAATTTAGGGGCGTTCCTGTGGCCGTGCTGCGAAATTCACATTCCAAAACTCGAAACGGACGGTCGCAAAAAAAGCCAACGACAGCGTCACGCGGAGAGGTTTGCTTTCTGAATCGATGCCGGGTGTCGTGGAGGTCAAGCTCGTCGGCCACGAAGCTCCATTCGCCCAGGTTCTCCACGAACATCTCCTGAAAAACGGCTGCGGCTTCGGGGTGTGGCAGGCCTGTGGGCCAGTCTTGCTACACGGAGTCTGAAGCTGCAAGCCAGTTGCTGAGAAGCTGGGCTGAAACTGTTGCTTGTCAGGACAGTCACACAACCCATGTGGTACGCGTTGCAAGCAGGGCAACCTTCCTGCCATATTGCCACGTGCCGCAATTGCGAACCTTCCAGGTTTGAAGGGAAGTGTCAAGAAGCCATCCAGTTTTGTGCAGTGCCCAGCTTTAAGGCCTGCCCATGATCCGCATCGGATCCAGACCCTCCCAAATGCGACTCCTGCATCAGCTGGACGGCAGAGTCCAGACCGTTCACTTCGAAGCAAATGCCTTTGAAGTGCACAGCCTCGTCAAAGACCTGATCCCGCTCCGCTGCGGAACGAGACTCAAACAAGGGGGCACAAAAGTGAAATTTGGATGGGGCATGTTTTTTCCTTCACAGACAAATTCTTAACACCATCCGTAAGACCATTGTTTTTTGCGTGTAACGGAGAATTTGCTTAAACAAAAAGGGGCAGATTGCAGCCATTGAATAATTGGGCATGGCCGGGCTCCAACTTCTGTGGTTCAAAACTGAGTGCGTTTGCATCCCCCTGTGCCAACGTTGTTGCAGCAGTGTTTTGTTTTTGTTGTTCTCTACATTTGTGTCCTGATTCATATGTCAAGTTCTCATGCGTGCCCAGCCCACCCAGGTCCGCACCTCCCCAAGTCGGTTGTATTCCTGGGTGTTCCGGATGTCTGCATAGATGCTCATCAGTGCTTGTACATGCTGACGCAACATGGCGTGCCAGAAGTCCGGCAGGGGAAAGCAAGTGATAAGTTTACGACACGAAAACAGTTTGGTTTTAGGGTTGGGTTCTGTTTTTGATTGCTCATGCTCAACAACGTATGTTCCAACGCGTCATTATGTTCCTGTGAAGGATATGGTTTGAGCTGTAAGATGCATCATGCGGTTCTGAGCGTGTACATTTCAACCAGGCAAAAAAAACATCACAAACAACAACACGTCCAAACCTGGTGCATCATGGCAACTTGCCACAGCGAGAGGACACACCTAAAGCCTGTGGAGAGTTCACTTCGCAATTCCGCTTCCATCTGCGCACCTCTATGGACGGCAAATCTGCTCGCTGACCAAACACGCGGAGGGCCAGCCTCCCGTACACCACCAAAAGGCCTGAACCTGTTTCCCGCATTCGAAGCAGGTTGCGCGGTCATTCGCGGAAGAGTTTCCTGCGTGCCCAGAACACCAGTCGCCGTAGTACGTGATCACATGTTGATACGGATTTCACCAGCCCATCCGAGCAACATGTCAGTCACATGATGTACGTGGAGCCTAGTCACGACCTATGTAGTCAGCTTCTATCGAGCGGATAGTGTTTTTGTTTTGGTTCATGTCAACCGCAGTTTAAAAAAGGGGGCGTATTAACTTAAAAAAAATATCGGCCACCAGACCCGTTTTTCACCCGTGTGATTTTGGCACGGGCCTGTGCCCGTGTGAAGGGTTAGAAGCCACAAAAGAAAGACTCCAAAACAAAACCAATCCCCGGTCCTGAAGTCAGGGTTTCCCACACACAAGTGACCAAACAACCACCGACCAAACCAAAAGGGAAAAGCATACCCGCAACCTGGGTGGACGATGAACAGCACGGGCACTCTCCACCAACCTGCCACGGACCGAAATCTTCTCATTGCAAAAGCCAACGTCTGTTTTAGGGCTAGGTGATCCGGGTGGGTTGGGAGGGACAGGATCTCCGAAGATTGAAGGCCTACCCGCCCACCACACCCTTAGAGCCGCAATGTTTCCAGACATGAAACATTGCGAAGTCACCTGATGACAGCAAAATTCAAACGGAAAACGAACTACACACAGAGCAGACACATCTCACAGCATGCGACTGCAACACCAATGTGTTCAAATGTTCGTTCAAAACTTGCATAGACAACGTCCACATTTCACATAAAAATCCAAACTGCGACGCCACAAAAAGCATGCCGCACAAAAACAGACCAGGCTCAAAGGAGCCTTGTTTGGCTTAGCTATAGAGAAAGTATTGTCTGCAAGCAGAAATTCCCTTCTCATTGCAAAAGCCAAAGTCTGTTTTAGGGCTACTCCAAGAGTGGCGCGCAGCAATCGAATGGGATATGCAAGTTCGAGCTAAAAGCGCAAGCCTCCGTCAAAACAATTTGGCCCCCCCAAGTCCAGTCTTGAGGGGCGTGCGACTAGGGTTTGGGACACCCAAATGTGAGCAAGCAAAAGTCCCCTTGCGCAACCCAAAATGGTTCCCATCAAACAGCCATCTCAGGGAAACCTAGAGCGCCAAGGGCCATGTGAACCTCATCGAGACAACTGCCATTTTCCTCTTCGAGCTTTGAAAGCGGTCTGGGGTTTGAAATCAGTTCGGCCAAGTCCAACAAGGAGAGAGAAACGCATTCTGAGTTGGAAAGCCGTAAACCATTCTGACTGTGCTCGGTTGCACATTTCAGCTGGTTAGAAACTCTCCCCCCTTCAAAGACCAGCTAAGCCAAGAGACGTTGCAGCAGCTCGTCTGGATGTTCCAAGTCTAGGCACTTTGAAACCCCAAGCATCTTGCAAGTCCTTTCAAGCCTTTGGCAAGGATCATCGGCGGGGTTGGAAAAACTGGGAACTCGCTCTATCCAAGAGAAGGTTGGGTGGCTGAGGTCCAAGGCATGGAATTCTCGTGCAAGAAAACGCATGGTCCTGCTCGAGCTGAGGCCCTTTATGAGAGCAAATTTAGCCGCATTATTGTCTACCCGCCAGATACTCCGGCGGTCACACAGCAAGTCCTTCAGTTGCCAGCGCAAAGATACCACGACGTAAAGCTCGACCTGGCAAATGAGTTGAGATCCCACTTCAACAGTCCACTGTGCAAGCAGCTGGTCAGGGACGAAGCCAGCGAACGCCAGGTGCACCCCAGAGGCCTGGTCGACCACCACAGCACCAATGCCCGCCACCCCATCCTCATACGAACCATCCGTAAAGATCAAGATAGGGAGCGTGATCGGAACAGCATACAACTTCCGAGGCTTGGAAGCGTGCAGAACTGCGCAGGCATAGTCACACAAGTCGCTCAAGTCCATGGCCCTTACCCCTGCAGGGTACATGATAGCTAGGATTTCCGCGCAGACCTGATGCAAGCCCCTCCCTGCGAAAAAGCCACATGAATACCGGAGGAGTCCGTGTAGTACTTGCGCCTCATGCAAGGTGACCTTGCCCTTAGCTTTCAGCTGGGTGATGAACTCCACCATTCTCTCAATGCGCGAGGGTTTGTTTTCCAGCACAAGCATGCCCGAATGCACTCCTTGCAAATTGAGCTGACACCCAAGCACATTGAACACGGCCTCAAAGGGCTTGCCTTTTGGCCCCGTCCGCGCATGCCTCCATCCAAGAAGGTCTAGAAGGGCGCTGGCACTCTCATCTGCGCTGGCTGCCACATCCGCAGGGCTGAACAACGGGAAGTCATCATAGAAAACCCCACAAGGCAAGAGTAGCATTCGGTTGAAAAGCCACCATTTAGTACGACTCACCCTGTTGAAAGCATAAACGGCCGCTGCGGCCCCAAACATCAAGGAATTTGCCACATAGAAGCGCGGGACACCTTGCTTGCCCTTGAAGAAGATTACCGCGAGGTAACGGTGCTCCGGCGCAATCCCCATCTGCTTGTACGCCTTCGAGAGGTCAAGGCATTTTCCCAACCACGGGCCGCGGCCGAAGCGCCCGCTGCCTTCCGCAAGTCGACTTGCAATTTTGAGCGCTAGCCCGGCCACGTAATCAACATCCTGCAGCTTCAGATATGACGTCGCTGTGAAAGCAGCGTTAAGTTGGCTCTCAAGATAGTCATCGATCGGCCTCACTGCCCTGTACAAGCACAAATCTTCGCACCACACTCCAGCGGTCATGTCCGAAAAACTCTGTAACTGCGCGCTCAGACTCGAAGGGCCCCTCCAGGAAACCTGCTTGCAATTCCTCGCCAGCAGTTTCTTCCAGGTGGTCAACGTGGGAGGGATCCAGCTCGGCAGAACGACGGTTCAACATTGCCTTCCTCCGCCACACTGCACTCTGCGCAAGATCTTCCTCCGTGAGCGACGCAGGTTTCAGTTTCAAGGGGTAGCAATCCGGGCTGTCGTGGCAGCCCACCAAAGGAACGCCCTCCTTCATGAAGCGCAGCACCGCCATGTCATCATAGTTGTAGCGTAGCAGAAGTTGTTCCCACAAAAGGATCCGTTTCCCTTCAAGCACACGAGCAAGGCAGTGAGGTAAATTAGCATGAAAAAGCTCCTCTTGTTCTTCCAGTTTCTTGGCCATCAGCTTCGCCTGAAGGAGGCTCTTCTTGCGCTCGAGCCTGATCAGGTCTGGATGGAAATTGCAGTTGGCCTCCAAAGCCTTGTTGGTGACCGCCTCCACATGGTCAGCTGCATCCATCGGACGGACACTGGTTTTGGCCATACTCAAGAACTGCTTTGGGGTGTGGTAAAAACCCAGCTTCACTCTACATGCATTGCCAATAACCGCTCCTCCCCGGTGGACGCTGACCCAATCCCCTCTGAAGTGCTCTCCTCGGACCCAACTCCCCCTAAATGAGGAGGTAGTTGCTTGGCTCCTTCAGGAAGAGTCGCAGGTGGGACCACCAAGGAGACGTGGTGGAACTCAGACACCAAGGGCTGGTGCCGTTTAGTCTGCTTGCCATGAGCTGCAGAGGATTTGTCATGCAAAGTGGCATGTGGCTGTACATCCCAACCAATGGCAACAGCGGAGCCACCATGCAAGCAGCAGCTCGTTGGGCAAGCAGGGGCAGATACGCGGCTTCCTGAGAGGTGTCAAAGCTCCAACCTGAATCTGTCCATCGCACACCCCAGGGATCGTGGGGGTGTGAGTCGTCACAAGTTGCAGCAAGAGCCTTATAGACGCTTTTCGTCGAGAGCCACGCTGTTTGCTTCTTGTGTGTAGACCCATGGCAGCATGCATGAAAAAGGACCATATCAAGGGTGTTCCAGAGGCGACCAGCTCCTCACTGCACTCGCGAGATAGTTCCGTGAAAACGACCCAGAGCCAGCTGTTCCTAGGGTTCTCCAGGCTGACTACAATGTCGCGCATGAGGCAGAACTGAGCCACTGCAAACCCAAGCTTGTACAGAACGTTCGCACTGTCTACACGAGCCTGATTGTGTCCGGACAAATGCGGCAACCCAAAAGGGAATTCAGCAGAACGCAACGGTGGGGGCTCGGCACCCCTTGCGCCCTCAATGCTTTGGAAATTGGTCTGTCACGAGCTCTTGAGGCTGTACCACAGGGCAATCCCAGATGAACACCAACTAAGTTGGGAGCAGAAAGGATTGTCCAAAGGATGTCCTGGGCCCCATCCAAGGTGAGATCAAGTGAAACTATTGGCACCTGGTTGCGACCAGCTTCGTGGTCAATGCTGAGCACTGAAAAACCCGCCTGCATCAAGGCGCGCGAAAAATTCCCTTGTCCTGCAAAAAGCTCCACGAACAAGGGCTGTGAGTGAGACTGTGTTGGAAACTCTGAATGTCAGTCAGTGTGGTTGCAATGCATATATGCCCGCAACCGGAAGCATCCTTTCTTGTAACACTTGTGGAATCCTCAGGCACAACGTTTGCCAGGCGGGCCCTTGAATTTGCACTTTCCAGACTGAAACGCAAAGCAGAGTGGCTTGCCGTCATCATCTGTTGCCACACAACCTTCCGGGAGGTTTGGCCTCGGCCCCGGGCTCCCTGAGGCTTTGCCTGTTCCCTTGCTGTTCGGGCGTTCCTCCTTTTTGGGCATCTTCGGAGGCCTTGGATTGGAAGGAGCCGAAGTGGACTCATGCGTACGAAATGCCGGCAAAGGCGTGAGGTACTGCAAGACCTCATGCGAGGTTTTCTTCGCCTGAATAGCTTCATCTTGAGGCTTTGGCTCGGCGGGACCACGTTGCAAACATCCCATAGTGCGGTGAGCCGCCAAAGTGAACATCTGCTTGTCACACTCCACCAACTGCTGCAAAGTGACCTTGTTGAATCCATGGGGCTGTTCACGAGCCACATGAGTGAAGAGAAACTGCACCCAAGCCTCAACTACCGTAAACTCTGCAATTCCCGCCAAATCCATAGCTAGGCTGTGGCGCTGGAGCGCAGCTCGTAGCTTCAGTTCGGTTGAAGCCTCGCACCTGGGGTCCTGGGCTTTCGGGGAAATCTTGAGCAGACCTGAGGCATCAGTCGAGATAGCGCCGTCTCTCTTCATGGTCTGCGTCTCCTGAGCACGACTGCAGCAAAGCTCAGGCTTCACGTACACCAGAATACCAGTCTCGCACATCTCCACAAACATGTCCACCAAATGGTGCGAGGAATCGTGTCCGGGGTGAAGATCAACCCGCCCAGTTTGGCCTCCTGGGCGGACTGCCGCGCCACCCTCTCAGCTGTAGGCAAATGCCGCTGGGTCGCACTGGGGTCGGCGTTGGATTCAACACGGCTTCGAACATCTACCAGAGCTCTGGCACTCGAAGAATAACCGTCTCAAAGTTGCAAGCTGGCTGGCGTCGGGTTCTGCCTGCAGCAAATCCGCCACGAACTCCTTGAACATCGTGTCATTCGCAGACTGGGGCGAATATGCCACCGCAAACGCAAAATTTCCGAATGTAGCCAGTTGCATTGCTTTGAGCCTATCCACGATCCACTCTTCCACGCCTATCTTGGAAGCCCTGTCAACGAAAGCCGCTTCTGATTCCAAGGAAGAAGCCATGGCTGCACAGACGAACCCAAGAAACTGGAAAAGGCTGAAGTCCTGTAACAAGAGGGAGCTATCCACACCAGCTTCCTCAAAAACCCGGCATTCACTGACGATTTACAAAAGTGCGTGTTGCCACTGAGCATCAAGAATGCTGTGGGTTGTTTGCCGAGAGGTTCCCTCCCGATGCAAGCTTTTCTTGCTGCGGGCAGATAGGGACTGCGGCACCCAAGCACTTCGTACCTAGAACAAAACGATGAAAAACGGTGCACTCAAAAAGTGTGTGTCAAGCACCACATGCTCCACCCAAGATTGTGGCAAGTGAGTCAAGCCTTCACCTTTCCACATGGATGTGATGCGCAAGCAAAGTACCCACAAACACCACAGGCCAGATCCGAGATTGTGGCAAGTGAATCGGTTTTCACCTTTCCACATGGATCACTGGCTAGGTGCTGCCAGCATGCATTGCACCGCTCGGGAACCGAGGTTTGAGAGGCAATCCTTTCAGGATCACATGACTCAGCGGCCAAGCCTCAGGCTCGACCGTCATACAGCAAAGTGAAACACACTGTATCCGAGCACTCACATCTCTCGTTGATACACTCTCTTGCACTGCGAGCAACCTTCAAGCAGCCCGATGTCGACAGGGCAGTCTTTCAAACATTTGAAGTTTCCCGTCAACCTACGTCCGCAAATGAAATGATCGTCCTCGTTCACAACATGAACCAGTCCAGACAAGTTGTGCACAACCATGGCCTCAACAGGGGTCTGTGGAAAGTCCGGGAATGCATCTATGCCCGGAAGTCTTGCATCTTCGGGAGAGCCATTGCCTGCATCCGAAGCAACACTTGACTCCGAATCTGAGTTTGCCACCGCTTGCCCGGGGTCAGGTTGTTGCAGAACGGGATGAGCAGGTCCAGCACATGATGCAATACGCAATACCCGGCCCAAAGCAGGTAGGTCAGGATTGTACATACCAGCTCTGATCGATACAAACATCTGCAACACCTTTGCATACAAAGTTGTATAAGATTCGCGAGCATACGTTGCCACAGACTTCATACCCGGATCCAGGTGGTGACCCAACAGGCGTCTCTCAGCAGGGGTGAAGACGATGTCCACAGACCTACCTGCCCAGGTCAGAAGAGTCGTTTTGCAGCTGTGCGATCCAAAGCTGCGTGGGTTCCAATCTGACATGCGCTTGCCCAAAACCTCGCGCAACCAGCAGGTGCCCTCGGAGGCACTCATCGGGGCTGACACCCAGCAACCTTTCCGTTCTGAAAAGCTCGGGAGAGCGCAATCGTCAAAACCGAGGCGCTCAGCCTGCCTTGCTTGAAGCCATCGTGAAGCCCAGTCCTTGCCGGTCACCCCGTGACCTAGAGCCACATACGGAAGAAAGCGTGTTCTCGCATCTAGGCTGAGGGAGGTTTTGGACGAAATGGCGTCAGCATATAGCAGAGACTCCTCCTCGGAAAATTCTATGCTTAGCTTCCGAAGTCTTTGCGCATCCTTCCAACGGCAACATGCGTGAATGCAGAAAAGGAGTTGACCCAAAATGCACTGCACGAAGGAAGGTTCGTGATTCATGGCTTCCTCCAGAATCCTGACCTGAAAGACACTCAAGGGAAACTTCTGTGACAGAGGATGCTTGCCCAAGTACATGTCTCTGGCCACTCCACGACATCTGCCTGAGACCACTGCATTAATATCCACAAGCAGGAATTTGACGGTCCTTTCCAGGAAAAACAAACTCTCAATGATGTGTTGGGCAGACGTTGCACCAGCTCCTGTAGCCCGCATCTCGCAGAGCGCCGCATAGAGTTCAGATTCGGTAAGCCTGAAAGGTCGATCCACACCAAGACCTGCCAGGATGTTTACCAAACGCTGTAATGAACTTGCTCGCTTCTGCAAGGTCGAAGAGGCCTTCATCCGGAAGCAATCAGCGAAAGACTGAGTTGTGGCATCGTGACTCAATCCATCCTCCAAAAGGCTTCCCAAGCTGGTACCCAACTGCGTGGCAAATTGATCACTCAAAATCAAAGATTGCAGCTTGAGCAACGCCACCCTACGGATGTCCTCGTCCGGAAGCTCACGTCGAGAACCTTTCAACACAAGCTTCCTGACAGGAGTCTGCTGGGTGGAACTTTGAACAGAACTCTCAGGTCTGTCGATGACAGTGCGAGAATTCAACACGTCACTCGAACCAATACCAGTAGGCATGAGATGCCGGTCAAGAGCGCCAACCACTGTACCCTCCCAAATGTTACCGCCTGCCGAAAAAGGTAAGCATGGCATCGACTCCCAAGGCAGAGGCTCACTTCTTTTAGAGTCGGAATCTCTAGCACACTGTTTCCAAGCGGCTTCCGATCCATGCAAATCCAAAACAGCCAGCCGAAGTTGCGGCTGAGAAACAGGCTGTAGGGTAGGAGGTTCTAAGGTGACAGATGGTAATAACTGAACTGACGCATCACCCAAATCATCTGCACTGCCCACTGATCGCTCTCTAGAAACGGAAGCAGAGTCTGGTTCGCAATCGGCAGCGGCCGAAGTTCTCCCCGACCAGCGTTTGCGATACCCTCTCAAGTCCAGACCTGCCTCCTGGCCAACATCTAAGGAATCAGCTTCTGTGTCATCCACCATAGCGAAAAACCATGGCAAAACCCCCGACTACACAGGATCTCCGAAGATTGAAGGCCTACCCGCCCACCACACCCTTAGAGCCGCAATGTTTCCAGACATGAAACATTGCGAAGTCACCTGATGACAGCAAAATTAAAACGGAAAACGAACTACACACAGAGCAGACACATCTCACAGCATGCGACTGCAACACCAATGTGTTCAAATGTTCGTTCAAAACTTGCATAGACAACGTCCACATTTCTCACATAAAAATCCAAACTGCGCCGCCACAAAAAGCATGCCGCACAAAAACAGACCAGGCTCAAAGGAGCCTTGTTTGGCTTAGCTATAGAGAAAGTATTGTCTGCAAGCAGAAATTCCCTTCTTCTCCTCCAACGCAGGCCCGTGCCCGGTGGTACCACCTCATCATTGAGCGCCAGCTGGCGACGGAGCTGACATTTGGGCCTGTCAGACAAATGCCATTCTCTTTCTTTGTGCGTTCACCGAAATCGTGCGCCGCAAAGGCACAGCCCTCTGCCCACAGCAGTGGCAGGGTGGTAGTCGTCCATACAAGTCCAGTCCAGCTTGCACGCAGCTCCGGCACAAAAGCTTCCCAGTGGGCCGGGCAGGCCTCCGGGTGTACACCAGGTTTATTGGGCGATCAAGCTGCTGCGAGGGAGCAGTCAGCAAATTGCCCACGCCAGTTCAACTTGGAGAAACGGGAGCACTTGAGCGTGACCTCAAACTTCGTCCTAATGGCCGCCATCATAGTTCCGGCGCGGGCCGACGGGGGGAGCCTTACCCCTCTCTTTAGAGGGGTTTCCCAAATGGATTCTATTCCACCTGGTAGGCTCCTGACACTCGTCCGTCCAGGAAACGACCTCGTCCTGCGAAAAATTCGAAATCTAAAACGCTGCGTGCAGGCGTGTGGCTGCAACATAACGACCCCTAGATATGCTTGCAATTTGGCTCCAGGTTGCATTTGAAGCGAGCCAACCTTTGCAGGGCTAAGAACTAGACCACGGTTGGCCCGAAAGCAGAACATCGCAAGCGAGGTCGGCCCAACGCTGCAGGATGCGTTCTTTTTCCCTACACGAAGCATTCGTGAAGCAAGCGCGAGACAGCGCCAGGCAAGGTGCTCTGTGCCAGTTGCTCTGTGCAAGTTGCTCTGCGCAAGTTGCTCTGCGCAAGTTGCTCTGCGCAAGTTGCTCTAGGCAAGACGCTCTGCGCAAACTGGTCGGTGCAAGTTGGTCTGCGCAAGTTGCTCTGTGCAACTTGCTCAGTGCAACTTGCTCTGCGCAAGTTGCTCTGCGAAAGTTGCTTTAACATACAAGTTGCATCTTGCAACGCCCGCCCGCGGACTAGGGAGGAATCGAACCCGCGACCCGCCGATTCCGGGAGCAGGCGCGCGAACCACGAGACAACTCCCGAGGACCAGTTCGAACAACAAAAGTCGCAAAAAACCTCGAGTTTTTGCACCTCGACCACGCCGATCCCCGCAGAGGGTCGCGCGGGAACTTTAGAAATCGCAAAAAACCATGGGTTTTTACACCTCGACCACGCCGATCCCCGCAGAGGGTCGCGCGAGCATGTTAGAAATCGCAAAAAACCATGGGTTTTTGCACCTCGACCACGCCGATCCCCGCAGAGGGTCGCGCGAGCAGGTTAGAAATCGCAACAAACCATGGGTTTTTGCACCTCGACCACGCCGATCCCCGCAGAGGGTCGCGCGAGCACCGCAGAAATCGCAAAAAAACCATGGGTTTTTGCACCTCGACCACGCCGATCCCCGCAGATGGTCGCGCGAGCAGCGCAGAAATCGCAAAAAAACATGGGTTTTTGCACCTCGACCACGCCGATCCGCGCAGAGGGTCGCGCGAGCATGTTAGAAATCGTGGGTTTTTGCACCTCGACCACGCTGATCCCCGCAGAGGGTCGATTTTCGTGTAGTGTCGTCGGCACTACCCCGCCCGCCCTGGAAGAGATTTTAACTCCTCGCAAGTCAATTGCACTTGACTCCTTGCACTGCAACTTGCACTCGACTCCTTACACTTGCAACTTGCACTTGACTCCATGCACTTGCAACTTGCACTTGACTCCATGCACTTGCAACTTGCACCTGACTCCTTGCACTTGCAACTTGCACTTGACTCCTTGCACTTGCAACTTGCACTTGACTCCATGCGCAGCTCGCAATGACTCTCAAGACTCCTTGCAATGACTCCTTGCAATGACTCCTTGCAATGACTCCTTGCAATGACTCCTTGCAATGACTCCTTGCAATGACTCCTTGCAATGACTCCTTGCAATGACTCCTTGCAATGACTCCTTGCAATGACTCCTTGCAATGACTCCTTGCATTGACTTTCATGATGATGATTCCTTGCAATGAC